CATCCTGTAGCTGTTGCAGTTGCCCATGGATGGAAACTGAATGATCAGTAAGATTCAGACAGCACATGCCTTCAAACTCCTCACAACCATGTCCTTGTGCTAAGAGCAAAAAGTCAATTGCAGCTCGATTTTGTAATACTGCATGACGTACACTACTCACATCGGCTGAAAGTTCACTTAACATTGTGGATGTTAAATTCAATTCTTTCTTAGTCTAACAAGCGAGCCTTTTTAGAGTTGCTAAGCTTTAATTCATTCAGGCTTCACTTTGACTGACTGATGTTTTTATTTTATCAACTACATTCAGCAATTGATGTAAGCTTGGATGGAAACAAAGTAAGTTTCCCAAAATAACAGGGTTTTCTATGTGGATTTGCAGGACTCTCATTCCATGCTCTATCTCCACAGATTAGGAATATGGAACTAGGTAATCACTTTGGTAATTGTCCTGTGAGATTGCACCACTAATAAAGGCTTTACTCTGTGTAGTAACGAGATCAGCTATAGGGCTGACTGCAGCCCAATGCTGCATTACTTTGTTAGAATGGCTTTTGTTGGGGGTTCAAACATTATCCATCCACCTGAGGTATTGGCGGAACCTAACAAATCTAATTCTTCTGGGGGCTCTATGGTAACATTAAGAACTTTGGTAATTTTTGCTTGCCAGCAGGCTTCAAGTTGTCTTAATGTGAAGCCAACAGTGCAATTGCACTCTTGCAACATTGCCAATTGATTCAGTCGAGTCTCATTACTAATTAAACCTTTAAATGCTGCTTGAGGATCCCTTTCAGGGACTCCTATGAGACAGGTGTGAAAAGGATCTCCAGGTGTGGCTAGGCTCAAACACATTGACCTTTGGCCAGTTCAATGTGCCAGAGTGACCCATATGTTCTGTCACTTTTGGATGTTAGCAGACAGTTGGTTGGGACTATACACAACACAATTACCATAAGCAGTTTGTTCCATTTAAATGACACCGTATTAGCAAACTCACAGCTAAAACTTTAACGTTAAATGAACTTTCAAAGATGCTTACACTACCTCTTAAAGGGGGAAATGCTTATACTTTATACTAATAGAACAATTACTATATAGGCTAAACTCTTTATCTTAAACTATTATCTAACTACTTTCAACACACGTGCTCTGGTATATATGTAGTCTAAGCATGAAAGCAATTTGCTAAAAGGGTAAACACACAACTACAATTTGCTTTATATACAGTTAGATGGAGTCTCTACACTTTTCTTAGATCTTCTACAGAATTTCCTTCACAAACAGACTATGATTTAACATGATTCAGTCTTGGAACGTTCACTGCTCCTGTGATGTCAGCTGGCAGCTGATTGGTGACTGAGGGCTTTGATGTTCACTTTGTTCTTCACATCCTTCTAAATCTTAAAACAAAGGATAACTGAAAAAATTGGTAGAGACACAACATCATAATAACAACATAAAGTTTCTGCTGGCAACTGTCTGTGTAGTGCTCAGACACAACTGTGTCCTGACAGCTCCACTTCTGATCCATGTCTGGAGTACCAAGGCTGTGTGGAGACTTCTCTGTTCACTGGATCTTGTGTGTTCAGAGGCAGACAGTCTGGTCAGATGGACAGGTGACCTTTTGGAACCTGCCAACAAAACACAGATACTTCTCTCCTTGAAGTTAATGAATTACACTAATCAAAATGCTTTTAGGATATCAATTTTCCCCGTTTTCTTAAAAAAAAATAAAAATGAGATGTATTTCTGTTATAAACATCAACATCAACACAAACCCATATATACAAGGATTAAGAACCTATAGCAGTTAAAAAATCAATTAAATCATAAACATTATTAATAACATATGTAATACAAAACTACTATTAATTACTAAAACACTGCACCAGCATCCCATAGTTAGCAAACAAACAGAAACAAAAAATCATCAGTGAAGGATTGGATCACCACCTCTGGAAATGATTCTCCAAGCTCACTTCAAAATTGATCCAGCTGTCATATTAATAGGGTCAAATTGCTGAGTCAAAAAGTGACTCAAATACTGATTTGGTACAGAAAACATCTGGATCTGCTGGCAAACATTCTGTCCAGGTAAAGTCAAGGCTTGGCCAGGGCCTGGCTTTAAACTGGAAAGATGCATCTTAACTCATTTCTAAAACAAGGTTCTCAATAGTAGCAGCTATGAGATGCTTACAGCACAGCAAACTGTTAAAATGCATTTGTACAAAGCAAATGATCAGAAGCCTCAGGTACCAGACCAATTAAACCATGCAGCAGTTGGTTTAATCTGAAGCCTCTCCCATGGCAGCTGATCCTCAGCAATGGTACATCTTCTTAAAATTCTGGAAACACTGAAAAATAAGAAAGCTATAACAAACAAAAACTGCAGAGATTGAAACAACCAATAGAACTCCAAATGAAGTCAAGGGTGTCACAGACTGCATTCCCTTCTATCCACAAGCAGGTGTTCATCAGCATTCCATCACAGATATTTCAGTTGTAGCTGTCTTCATCTCTCTAGGAAAATAACTATACTTTGCAGTTTAGACAAGTGTCTCCAATAAGACATAAACAATTTAAATTAAACAATATTAAATCTAATAAAATTAATTATAACAAAAGGAAATAACAAAACTTAACCTTAAAAGAATATCTAAGTTATAAAACTTAACTTAAAAACATTCAAGCCTAAACATAAGAAAACTTGACTTCTCTTAATTCTATTAACATTTAATCTATATTAAATAAAAACATAACTTAATCTTATTCTGTTACTACAAAAAGCAGCTAAAAATCTGATATATACCTTTTAAACACAATATAACAGTAACATGGATTCACTCTAAAGATTATAAAAATGTAACAAATACATCACAATTCTATGTCATCTAGCTTTGAGAATAACTCACAATAACTGCAAATGGTACTAAAAATACTCATGCATAACAGGAATTTGCCTAGTATATGTTTAAATTGGTTAGGATTTTAAAGCAGGAATTTGCCTAGTATATGTTTAAATTGGTTAGGATTTTAAAGTGCAGTTTTTCTAAAGAAAAACCACAAAAAAACCACAGGATTTGGCAAGTTGCCATTCAGCTTTTGTAGCACTTTACACAAACATTAAGTCTAATTTTTAAACTAAAATCCAAAATCCAAATTGGTGTTGTGAATTCATGTTGTAAATATTGGCTTTTCACAATTATTCTGATAAATATATTATATGCTTTCACTATATTCTTTTCTCTTAGCAAGTTACAGGCTTAGATAGGAATTCTGAATGGTAAGGATATGTCTCATCTGGAGAAGGCAAGATAACTCCAACAGGCAAGACAATGGGAGGATCAAGCTGTGGAAAACAGGCTATTATCAGCAGCAGGAAATGGAGAGCAAACTGTTACCAAAAAGCCTGTACCAGGACGTTGGCAAGGGGGAAAGATATGAAGCCCATCTGCTCTCTGAGGAAGTATAAGGGGCCTGGACTCTTATCAACAAGTGACCATCTGCAGCAGAAAGGAAACCAAACACCAAAATAATACTGACCAGCTAGAAGAACGATAACCAGCAAAAATTATGCTGACCAGCAGAAAATAACATGATCCAAGAAGGTGGAACCAGGGAGGGGACATGCTTGAATATGCATTAACCTCTCACAGCAAAGATGGGATAAAAAGGACACTCCTGAGATACCAGGTGTGTTCCTGGTAACCCACCAGGGCACCCGGCCGTTTTAACCCTTTGCTTTATTTCTTTTGTCTCCTAATTGTCTTTTCTTTATATTAAATTATTTTTATAATTTATTAAGTGAATCTCGTTTTTAAGATTGGTATATATGCAGTTATATGTGTTTTACATAACAAAAGGTCTCACATTGAAATTACCTTATTAAAATTGTGGAGAAAACAAGCAAATGGATAATATATGCTCTAACTTAACTTTGTCTTGTACAGTACAGTTCTCGTAACTAATTATTTTTTAAACCACAAATCTCTTTTGTAGATAACATCAATTGGAAGGTTTTCTTAGAAGCTGTAAATTATACCATATTTTAACCTTAGTTTTTAAAACTAACTATTGCAAGGTAACTTCTGTTAATATTCACCTTAAACACCTTTTTTTCTTGAAAAGGGGCCCTTTTAAACTTCCAAAGAATCACAATAATTTCTCCAGGAAAGCTCTAAAAAGTACAACTGCATAAATTCATAATTACTTAAAAGACAAAATTAACTCTAAAAGGGTATATAAAAACATTTTTAAAACCCATGAATCATGACTTTTTAACAAACTGGGTACTATCCCAGTGCTTTTTCTTAGAGAGGGAGCCAGGGGGGTGGACTGCCCGCCCTGCTGCTGCTCTCTGCTGCTGTTATCTTTCTTCACATTCTCCACATACTCTCGCAGGAAAAAGAAAAACCAAAAAAAAAACCTCACAAAGTTAACTTTAACACATACAGTTGTTTCTCTCAATCTCTCTTGTTCACTGAGAGAGGAAAAAAGGGGCACAATTTTTACAAAAGCAGGCGATGTTACACAAAAGTCTCTCACGGCCAGGTGCTAACGACGGTGACCATTGCAGCTTATCAACTTCTAATTACAGTGATGAAGTTTGAATTAAATACCATATAGTTTGTGATTTTTTGGCTATTTTGTCTCTTTCTGAAGCTGTCTGAGCCACCTGTTTCTGCTCAGTTGTTTCTGTAATTGTTCAGAGTGGCCTTGGAACTTTTTCTGCACTGCTTCTGTCCCAGGGGTGCCCCCGCTCTCTGCGCACACCTCAGTGCTCCCCCATGTCCCCCTGGTTCGGGTGGAAACCAATCTAAATTTGGATTCTTTTCCTCCAGGGTAGCAAAGTTGGAACTTAAATAAGATTGTAGTGTTAAGAGTGACTCCAAAAGTGAAGCAAATAGTTCAGGATATATCACATCCTGCCGTAACTGAACAGATTCTGCTCGTTGTTTCAGCGTTTGCTCTGGAATTTCTTTCTCATTATTTCCTTCTCTCTGACTCTCCCTCCCTCTTTCCATGGGCAGCATAGATAGGAGTGTTTGCCCAGCAGTGGGAGGCAAAGGTGTAAGCATACCCCTAAGCAAGAAGTCCAGGGAGCTCCTTGCGCAAATCAAAACCCTTAAGCTGTGGCTTTTCTAAAAAGCAGGTAAATAAATCATGTGCTGCTTGCCTTTTCATCTTACCGTCAGTGCTGTTGCAGCCCTACAAGGTTTCGGCAGCACGTTACGGCCAGGACTCTCCTCTGAGGTCGCCTGGGGTGCGGCACCGTTGATTTTTGACCAGGACTCTCCTCCGAGGTCGCCTGGAATGCGGCACAGCTGTTGCGTTTCGCCGTCCTTGCTGCGGACGACCCGTCCCCTGACACCAACTCCCCTGGCCAACTCCGACTCCTTTTTAAGGTCCCAAAGGTCCCTGCTGTTTGGGCGCCATTTGATGAGTTTGGTGGGAGACAAGCAGCACTCAATATGAATGATCAGGAAGGCTCATTTATTGGTAACTCTAAAACCACTTATATAGCATCAATAATTAGGCTCATACATAGTGCAAAAGCAAGCTCATTATTGGATATTTTCATTTAAGGTCAACTCCACCTAATTCCACATTCCTGTGATCGCTCATCTATGCTGAATTCACATTCTTCTGATCACAGCATCCTGTTCTCAGTTCACAGTTATCACTAAGGTCTTCCTGACTTTGCAACATCACACTAATTGTACTCTATTGTCTAATTCTTTCTCAGCTAATTGCAGCATGGGAACATGACCTTTGCTAGCTAGCCATTCCTCTAAACCTCTAAGCAATAGGAAATGAAAATTGCGCAATCACTGAGGTTGGAAAAGACGTCCAAGACCATCCAGTATTCCTTGATGCCACCAGAAGATAAAATTGAATGGAAAAGATTTTCTGGGATTGAAAGTCAACAAATCCACCCCCCACAAGGAATTGCCATTGTTGGTCTGTGTCCCAATGGATGTTCCTCCCAGTGCCTTTATTCAGGTGCCCACAGGGAGCCAGGAAGATGTGGAGCCTCCCAGCCAGGTGTCTTCCCAACACAGATCACCAGGACCACGGATCACCAGGGCTCTGCCCAACGGGGGTCACTGGGGATCATCCAACGCCCATCCTCCCATGGGTGATGGAGCTGGAGCAGCGCACGAAGCTCTTCCCGCACTCGGGGCACTCGCAGGGCTTCCCTTACTGGTGCCTCCGTTGGTGTTGGGTCAAGTGAGAGCTCTGTGAGAAGCTCTTCCCACACTGGGGACACTCGTAGGGCCTCTCCCCAGTGTGAATGCGCCGGTGCCTGATGAGGTGGGAGTTCTGCTTGAAGCCCTTCCCACAGTCGGGGCAGCGGAAGGGCCTCTCCTCTGTGTGAATCCACTCATGTTTGAGGACATGGGAGCTGGTCTGAAACCTCTTGCCACACTCAGGACACTCGTAGGGCCTCTCCCCAGTGTGGATGAGCTGGTGTGCACTCAGCGTGGAGCTCCACCCAAAGCTCTTCCCACATTCCAAGCAGGTGTAGGGCAGTTCCCCTGTGTGGATCACCTGGTGTCTCATCAGGTTAAAGATATCTCTGAAGCTCTTCCCACATTTCCCACACTCATACGGCCGTTCCCCATTGTGGATCATCTGGTGATTCCTCCGGCTGGAGCTGTGGCTGAAGGTCTCCCCACATTCCCCACACTCGTAGGGCTTTTCCCCAGTGTGGGTCACCTGGTGCTGGAGCAGGTCAGAGCTCCACCTGAAGCCCTTTCCACATTTCAAGCACTTGTGGGGCTTCTCCCCCAGCTCTGAGCTCCGGCTGGATCTCCTGCCGCCTTCCTGACACAGGGGGGATCTTTCCTCCTCGCAGCCCCCTGGACTGGGTTTGCAGCCCCTCCTTGTGCGGCATCTCTGGGGCTTTTTCTCCTCCTCTTCCATCTGAACACAGTTTGGGAAGGAAAATTCCTGGTTAAGAGGAAAAAGAGAGGAGAGCACCTTGGGCTGAGGGTTCCTCCATGCCCAAGTTCATCTCAGAAAGTCATTGGGCATCTTGTGTCTGTAACAAAGCAAAGCACCAAGATTCAGCCCAAACATCAAAACAAAGATCAGAAACCGCCCAAACACCAAATTCAGTCAAAACCCCCTCCAGAATACAAAGATTCAGCCCCGGCAAAAAAACAAAGCACCAACATTTAGCCCAATAAAGTTCAGAAACATCAAGATTCAGCCCCATCAAAATCGTGGATCCCCTCCCCAGTCACCTCCAGGGCAACACTCCTAGGACTGCACATACAGGGAGGGTGGAACCTTGTCCTGCTCCCTCTTCCTGCTCCTCCACCTCCTGTGGACCTACTCTTCTTCACAATCCTCTTCCTCCTACTATTTCTCTTGCTGCAAAATCCAACCTTCTCCCACGTGAATCCTTTGATTATTATGTTCTTCAACCCTGCTCCTCCTTCCCTTCTCTTCCTGCCCCCAGGCCCAGCACCCACTGCCGCCTCCCTCTTCCCCCCCAGTCCCACAGCATCCCACCGCAGGGGCACGGATGCAGCGGGGCCAGCTCGGCCTGGGGCAGCGCTGGGCTCTCGGCCGCTTCCGCCCGCACTCGCTCCCCACTGCAGCCGCTCCCGCCACCACAGCGCGGGGGGGCCCGGCCTTGGCGCTCCCCCCTCCCACCTCCCCAAATTCCCCTCCAGGGGGACGCCAAGGCCCGGGGAGGGCATAGGTGGGATCCACGTGGGACCACTGTGGGGAAAAAATGAATGTTAGAAAGACATCCTGGACAAAGAGATGATGACCCCAAAATATCTCTCAAGGGTCCCATGGGAGCATGTGGATGTCATTTGCACATTCTTCCAGAGGGAATTAAGGACATGGACACCCAGGGGGGCAAGAAGGGAAGTCCAGAAGGAATTTAGACAACAGGGGATGGATGGTGTTGGTGTGCTGGGAAAGGGATTGGCTGAAGGGGAGTGTGCAGGAATGTGCTTAAGGCAAGAAGCAGCAGGAGGAATCTATAGGGTAAGAAAAAGGATGATGGAAAAGAAGAGGAAGAGAAAAATACTGAGGATTGGGATGTTTTTCAGAAGACTCTTATCCTCAGAATTTGCCAGCTGACTCAGATCCTTTGTATCCCAGTTTTCCAGGACAGCAAAACAAGGAGGTGAGGATTTCAGGGGGTTTCTCTGAGCTGGGAGCGGCAGGAGCGGGCGCAGAGCTGCGGCACCGGGAGCACGGGCTGGGGGCCTGTGGGGAGCTGTGGG